TAGGAATAATACATTGACACTCTCACAATAGGAGTCTGTAATGTAATCGACCCGTAAGCAACCATCTAGACTTTAGTCACTTTTCTTACCATGATGTAACTTCCCTCTTGAAATTAATGAATGCAAAATTTTACAGCTTGCCTCACTACTTTATAGTCAGGCAATGAACATACCATCCCAGCCTCGTATCTATACAGTGGACGGAAAAGAATATTCATAGAAATACAACATTTTAATTTATTCTAATTCTAACTAATGGATAAATATGATTTTCATATAATTAACTGTACAAAGATGGATAATAACTAAATATGAATAGAAAACAGAACAGAATTTTGATGGAATAGAAATTAATCCTATTTATTCATTTTAATGTATGAAAAAGTATTCGTGCAATGAATGATTTTAAAACATATAAATTGCTTTAATACTCTAGATTATTCTAGAATGTTTGAATAATCTTATCAGTAGTTATTTTTATATTAAAAATACAAACAGAACATTCTGTAATTGATATTCGTGCAAGAAGGTTTTCATCATGGCAAGAGGTAAAGAATTGACAAATTCGCCAAAAAAAAAAAAATAGTTAAGCTCTGAAAAGAAGGTAAAAGTTACGGGAAAATCCCAGATAACCTGAATATTCCATTTATTACCATTAGTTCATTCATTCCAAGTTATAAAAATCTCAAAACTGTTGAAAACCAAAGAACAGGTATATCCCAATAGATTTCTGTAATTGATATTCGTGCAGGAAGGTTTTCATCCTGGCGATCGAGACTCTAGTCACATTTCTCACCGTTATGTGCATTTCTTGTCCATGGAGTCACGCGGAATTTTTAAGGAAAGTCGATACAAAAGGACTTATAATGAAAGAAGATGGCTTCTTAAACTTACGGGACATGTTGAAAGCAAGAGGAACAGAGAGAAACAAGAAATAACTTACATACCAAGTTTGAGTAGATCGTTGGTAGAACAGGGTTTAGGAGAGATAGCAAACTTACAAAATTGCTAAGAGGACAGGGAATTGTCTACCTCCTGAAGAGACATGGCAAATAAAAGAATGGCGTCCAATGATCTCGTACAGCCTGGAAGAGTGATGTTGATAATATCAGCTATATATCCAGCAACATCAGCACAGCAAAGAGTACTCTTTTAAAGGTAAGGAAGTACAAAAATATTTTAAGTCAAGTGATAGCGATTGCTGTATGAGTCGTACGATTTTTTAATCAAGCACGGGCAACGCCGGGCCATGCTGCTAGTAATCTATATAAATAAAGCGCAGTGAACGTGTGTCCGTCCGTCCATCCGTCTCGGCGAATCATAAACAACCTGAATTAACAGTCAATAACTTTTGTAGTTACAAGCGATTAAAAATTAAATAAATAATTTAAAGTTAAATTTAAAAATGGAACAGAGGGAAAGGTTTAAATCACAATTTTTATTAAAGGTTTAACTTTAATTTCGCTTTTTCGGCACAATTGCAATCGATGTCATTCAATTAAACCGTAATTAAAATTTAAGCGGGGCTCAGTACGTGGCTCTTTTTTTTTTCTTTTTCTAGAATGCGTATTTTGACGTATTCGAAATATTACAGAGTTCGTGTTCCCTAATGTCTTTTAAGAGTGACACTATATGAAGGAATCATAAAAAATGGTGATTTTAAAAGAAAGAAATGCGCGCAAAATAAACTACGGTGATCGGTTGCGTATACGAAGAATGATTATGCCGAATTAAGGTGCCAAATAATTCGCATAACATTTACGTACATAGGACGCTGAAGGTATAGGGCGCGAATGCCCAAAGGTCATCCGTAAGAGCTAGCCTAAAACCGCCACCACGGAATGGCGTCTTCTAGGCTTGTAATAACAATAATAACTGGTTTAAACATGAAAGCACCCGAAACCCCACCGTTCACTAAAAGTAAACAATTAAAATTTATAAACCATTTACATTCTGACTATAGTTCTCATCGTTGCTTTCAAGGAAACGACAATTCCCGACTTCAGTCAACTTCTCAACGACGTGTTGTGGCTTCCCTCTGTCTTTTCTACAAGTATTTTCAGTGCAACTGCTCTAAAGAGCTTTTTTCCATGGTGCTCTGACTAGATGAATTTGACCGTGTTACTAGATTGCAACTAGGATTCTCCATTTTACTGTTGACTTAGATGCAGCCGGCACTTCTATGATAACAATTGCTTTTCTTGCTCTTTTCACAATACTTTTTTAGTGATGGCTTTATTTTCAGTGCATAGAGCGCTTCACGAATTTGAAGTTTTTGTTTTTTTTTTATTTTCATAGTGGAATATATATATATATATATATATATATATATATACTAGCAGCATGGCCCGGCGTTGCCCGTGCTTGATTCAAAAATCGTACGACTCATACAGCAATCGCTATCACTTGACTTTTTTTTTTTTTGCCCTTCCTAGTCTTTAAAGGGGTGATATTGGAAAATGCAAAGTCGGTCTTGGCCTTCCTGCTAACTTGGAGCATATGCATGTAAATTTTGGTGCAAATCCGTCGAAAATTACGGCCGTGCATTCGTTACACACACACACACACATCCTTATATATATATATATATATATATATATATATATATATGTGTGTGTGTGTGTGTGTGTGTGTGTGTGTGTGTGTGCGTGTGTGTGTGTGTGTGTGTGTGCAAATATAGAAAAATGGGAAAGAACCGTTAGGTTAATAATCCAAAATTCTTTAGTATTTTTTGTTTTTATTTAAAAAAAAATTAAAAAAAAGTGCTCAATACATAAGTAGACCCTAGATTAATTATACCAAAATTCGCTTGAGGATGAAACAGTAGTGGTCTTCTGTTTTTGAAACATGAGAAATCTTATGTAGCGATGGAATCATATTTTTAAAAAATAATAAGATATATATATATATATATTATATAGTGGCCTGACGATTGCATATAGCATGAAACAGACTGTCGCCTCTAAGTGTTGATTTCTATGTTCACTTTTATATTTAATATATATATATATGTGTGTGTGTGTGTGTGTGTGTGTGTGTGTGTGAAAATATATAGAAAATAGGAAAGAACTGGTTAGGTAAATAATCCGAAGTTCTTTAGTATTTTTGTTATTATTTTTAAAAATACTGCTCGATACAAAAGTAGAGCATAAAAATAATTATTTATTTAAAAATATATTCCAACACGCTACATAAGAGTTCTCATGTTTCAAAACAAGAGCCTAAAACTTCAATATAATTATTTGAATTAAATTGAATTAAAGTAAGCTCTGTTCCATCTTCAAGCGAAATTCAAAAAAAAAAAATTTCGCCAAATTCCAAAAAAAAAATTTCGCTTGAAGATGGAACAGAGTTTACTTTAATTCAATTTAATTCAAATAATTATATTGTAGTTTTAGGCTCTTCTTTTAAAACATGAGACCTCTTATATAGCGTGTTGGAATCATATATTTTTAAATAAATAATATATATATATATATATATATATATATATATATATATATATATATATATATATATATATATATATATATATTAGACGAGCGGAACAAATACTTTTAGGAGATATTCATCCGGGACTTCCTTATTCAACCGGGCTCTTTTATTAAATATGCCAAAAAAATCTTTCGGCAGCAGTTAATTTACAGTACGGAACATACAAGGAAAAATCGTTTCATTCCTGAAAATAATTATTTTGAATATTTAAAAAATTTTCCACATCCAGTTTTATTCCAGCTATTCGGACTATTTGAAACTGAACTGAAGAATATGTATATACAGTTAATCCTCGAATTAACGGTCCCGGAACCAACGGACCCCGGATTTAACGGATAAAATCCCCAGAAATGTTAGTCCGTTAGTTCCAGAATTGGCCGCTGTTGTTTACTGGCGCAATCAACAGACTGGTATTTCCGGAAATATCCGCTCGTCGTGTACACACATGCATCGTCACTCGAACATTTTATACTAACTTTGGTACAGTATACAGTATTGCTTTTTGTCAAGCCCTTCATAAGCGGCAGTTAGTTGGACGAAGAGGTGTGTTAGAACGTGTGTGATTCTTTTGACACTCACCTAAATTTTTTGACCAAGAATCGGGGTGGGGGGATAAATGCGTATTATCAACAACTTCGAACATTAAAGGAACGAGTAATTCGTGAATAATACCAAAGAAGGAAACAACTAAAGTTGGATTCGTTCTCCCGACCCAAACATGTTTAGGTAAACTATAAAACGTTTCAAACTTTATTTAAAGGTATATAGTAACTTAAAAATAAACTACACATACATATGTATTGTATTTACATTTATTTAAAATAATATTCTACGCTACTGGTTGTTTTGAGGCCACGAAATAAAAGTACTTCAAATTGACAAATTGACAAACGGCTTAAACGGATGACCCCATTATTAGGTCCATTAAACTGAGGTTCCACCCTACGTATATCTGTACGTGATTGTCGACCATGCACACGTTGATTTAATGCAAACTGAAGAATTTGAAGCTGAAGCATAAACTTGTTCATTTTTAGGCGATCACGCATATCTATCTATCTATCTATCTATCTATCTATATATATATATATATATATATATATATATATATATATATATATAAGGTAACTATACTCGTTTGAAAAACCTTCGATTTTTTGATTTGCCAATAATCAAATCAATCCTGAGGGGAAAAAAAGGTTTTAAAAAAAAGAAAGAACTAGAAACATGAAAGTCTGTCGAAAAATATCTCACAGATACAGGTTTAAAGCCCAAAGAAAAAAACCCCGACACGAGTAAACAACTAACTAACAAAAGAGCTCAATACAACCGTAGAGCAGACCTAGATAAACCTAGTGAGCCAGACAAACCTACCTAGGTTTCATCTAAGCGGATCTATATATATATATATATATATATATATATATATATATATATATATATATATATATGGTGGGGTATAGAAATTAAAAATTAAATAGAGAATTGGAGAGATCCTGTAACCA